GCGCGGGGCGGCCGGGGGCTGCCGGGCCCCGTGGGGACAGGGACGGGATGGGGACAGGGACGGGGACGGGGACGGGGATGGGATGGGGACAGGGACAGGGATAGGAACGGGATGGGGACGGGATGGGGACCGGAACAGGATGGGGATGTGGACAGGGATGGGGACGGGATGGGGATGGGGACAGGGACGGGATGGGGACGGGATGGGGACGGGGACGGGATGGGGACGGGATGGGGACCGGAACAGGATGGGGATGTGGACAGGGATGGGGACAGGGACGGGGACGGGATGGGAACAGGGACGGGGACGGGACGGGGACGGGACGGGGACCGGGGGCACCGTGTGTCCCCGCTCAGCCCGTGGCCCCAGGTGACCCTGGTGACCGGACACTGCCCCCCCCGACCCCATCCTGCCCCCCCAGCCCCAGGTGACACTGTGGGGGGGGGCAGCACCGTGCCCCTCCCACACTGCCCCCCCCGCTCACCCTGTCCCCCTTGTCCCCCCTGGCGCCCCGTACAGCCCAAGGTCACGTGGCTCAAGAACCAGCAGGACGTGGGCGCCGACCCGCGCTTCCTGGCGCGCCACAGCCAGGGGGTCCTCACGCTGCTCATCCGGAAGCCGGGGCCCGTGGACGGCGGCACCTACGGGTGCCGCGCGGTGAACGAGCTGGGCGAGGCGCTCACCGAGTGCCGCCTCAACGTGCGCGGTGCGTCTGCGCATGCGCCGTACACGGGCGGGAGGGCTGCACGTGCGCGGTGCGCATGCGCGTACACGGGGGGGGCACGTGCGCGGTGCGTGTACGCGGGCGGGAGGGCTGCACTGCGCGGTGTGTCTGCGCATGCGCTGTACACGGGGGGGTTGCACTGCGCGGTGTGTGTACGCATGCGCCGTACACCGGGGGGTGCATGTGCGCGGTGCGCATGCGTGTACACGGGCGGGAGGGCTGCGCGTGCGCGGTGTGTCTGCGCATGCGCCGTACACGGGGGGGGGCACGTGCGCGGTGCGCATGCGCATACACGGGCGGGAGGGCTGCACGTGCTCGGTGTGTCTGCGCATGCGCTGTACACGGGGGGGTTGCACTGCGCGGTGTGTGTACGCATGCGCCGTACACCGGGGGGGCACGTGCGCGGTGCGCATGCGCGTACACGGGCGGGAGGGCTGCACGTGCGCGGTGTGTGTGCGCATGCGCCGTACACCGGAGGGGGTGCACGTGCGCGGTGCGCATGCGCGTACGCGGGCGGGAGGGAGGGCTGCACGTGCGCGGTGTGTCTGCGCATGCGCCGTATACGGGCGGGAGGGCTGCACGTGCGCGGTGTGTCTGCGCATGCGCCGTACACCGGGGGGGCACGTGCGCGGTGCGCATGCGCCGTACACCGGGGGGGCACGTGCGCGGTGCGCATGCGCATACACGGGCGGGAGGGCTGCACGTGCGCGGTGTGTCTGCGCATGCGCCGTACACCGGGGGGGGGCACGTGTGCGGTGCGCACGCGCCGCACACGGGTTGGAGGGCTGCACGTGCACGGTGTGTCTGCGCATGCGCCGTACACGGGCGGGAGGGCTGCACGTGCGCGGTGTGTCTGCGCATGCGCCGTACACGGGGGGTGCACGTGCGCGGTGCGTGTACGCGGGCGGGAGGGCTGCACGTGCGCGGTGCGTCTGCGCATGCGCCGCACGGGGCGGGGCTGTGCGGAGGACTCCGGGAGGGGTCGGGG